ACAATTGTCATCCTCGTCACCTGGATAGTTGGCGCTCCACTACTTTTTGCCCCGCACGACCAAACTGTGGAACAACTTATCGTCTGCCTTATTTCCGGACCGATACCACCTTCTAACCTCCAAGAAAAGAGCGTACTCCTTCCTAAAAGGCCGGAAACGCGTTTGTAACTCCTGGGTTGCTCATGGACGGCGATGGTCGCTTTCCATCAGATGACCCGTCTGCTCGTCTGCCCCCTCTGACATAAAAAACAAAAAAAAATACGATAAACCTGTCGACCTGCTTCGAATAGAATTGAAGAGTCAAATCAAATCCGCTTATTAAATAAAACTTAGTCAAAAAAAAAGAGAATTCTCTGTCCTTGTCTAACACAGTGCGAGGAAATGAATACGTTTTACGGATCAAAACAAAATAGATTGACTTCAGTTTTAAATATAAGAAAAATCCGGTAAAAATATACACCGGTTGAAAAACGACTGGTCGACATACCAAACGACTGAACTCGAAAACAATTTCATCAACACCCTTTAACAGTTCACTGCTGGACATAGGCCTTTCCTAAGAAAGGAGGTTTTGGCCTACTAAACCACCACCAGACGGGTTGGTATAGGGTTTGTTTCAAGTTTTCCTTCTTCTTTTTCAAGTTTCGCAGCAGAAAACAATTTATGTATTAATATATTTTTTGGAATGTCAGGTTTTATCTTCCTCCAACACAAACGGAGGAACCTTCGACCAGGCGTGGCGATGATGCTTGAACCGCGGCCCAACGAATGATGTTGGCATGTTGTATACATATTAGAGAGGGCCCGGATGTCTTAATAACAACTGTGCACAGATAGTATAATAAGAGGGCCTGTTTTAGTGTGAGTTGCTTCGATTCTGACACACCGTTCATCGCAAACCCCAGTGGGGTAACGGCGCGAGTGGATTTGAACTAGCAACAAAAACAAATTTAGGAAATTGTATATAAGTTACAAGTTATAAGTATATAAGTTATAAGTTAGTTTGCGTGGTATAGTAGGCCAAAACCTCCTTTCTAAGGAGAGGCCTATGTCCAGCAGTGGACTGTTAAAGGCTGTTGATGATGATGATATAAGTTACCGTTAGAATACGAAATACGTTAATATGCGCATTAACTAGGTATTCTGCAACTTACCGCTTATGATCCGTTAAAGTCTGAAATTTTAGTTAACGTAGCAGATGTCTACACTTGTACTAGTTAATCTGCATATTAAAGGAAGCTACAACGTTAAATCGCAGAAGATAGTTAACGAAACATATCTATCTCTTTCACGGCCACCCCGCCGGTACCCTGTATTCACGTCAACTGCGGGTCTGACCGGTCAGTCAAAAGTATTTTTGACCTCAACATCATAGACAACAGAGGACATAACAATTTACAAAGATTCACGCTCGCGTTCGCGCTTTAATGGTCAAATTTACCGATTTGACTCAAATAAATAGTAGTTCATACTTTTTTCCTTCGAGCCTTTTTCTCAAACCAGGTTGGGGTCGGCTTTAGGTTTACTACGACACGGATGAACTTCGAAGCGACTGCCTTCACCTTACTAGGCGAAGTCTTGTCCCGGAACTGGTAATGATGATGAATATAAATGCCTAAATGGAATCGACTGCCTCAGAAGGGAACAAGTTTGCAATAGATTCCAGGACTGTCCAGATGGAAGTGATGAGATTTTCTGCCCTTATCACGGTGTGAGGTAAGCTCAGTTCATTATGGATAATCATCATCATCATATGAGCTCAAGAACGTCCACTGCTGGACATAGGCCTCCCCTAAGGTTCTGCACAAACTGGTCCTTTATTTCCCTCATCCAGAAGCCTCCTTGTGGAGGGCCTGACCACCCTCCGTCTTTCCAGCCCCAGATCTAGAGGCGCCAAAATCATAATATGTTTAGTATGATTAAAAATAAAAAAAATTGCTGCATAAAGCGCCTACCATACGGAAGCCTGGTTAACTCACTGTCCGATTTGTAAAAAAAAGGTGCCACACAGGCCGACACTACAAGTGAACTTATATATTTGTAAGTTTTTTTAAGGTTTTTATTTATCTGAAACGCTGGAGAGAGGGGCGCCACTAGCAAGTTTCTACCCCGCTTCGAAAAAATTGAGATCCGGGGCTGCGTCTTTCGGTACGCGGTCAGCACTCACCCCCTGCCCCGCCCACTGCCACTTAAGTTTGGCAATGTTATGGGTTTTTTTTTAAATTGGTTGGTGTACGCTTCAAAAATTCGAAAAGTTCTGCTCCGGTTGAGCACAAATGTTGACAGAATAAACAAGTACAACACGCTTTAAAGATTGTTTTTATCTCTGCAGAACTTTTTGAGTTTTTTTAAGGATACACAAATAACTTAACAATTTTTTATAAATATATATACGTAATAATCAAAAACAAGTCAATTATATTTTACAATATGTCATGCAGAATACAAAAAAATAAACGATAAATCAAGGCATGTCCTGATTTAAAATATTATAAAAAAGACACCTCTAGTTTGTTTGGCGTTTCTTCCCAGAGTGAGTCTCAGGAAATGCCGGCTCCTTCTAGCTGTAAAGTCCAACTTCTAAAAATATCTGAAAAGATTTACTTACAGAAATAAATTTCACTTATACACTATTTTTGTTATTACATCAACAGCCTTTAATAGTCCACTGCTGGACATAAGCCTCTCCTTAGAAAGGAGGTTTTGGCCTACAGCGTCGTGGTATACACGCTGGCCAGACGGGTTGGTATAGGGTTTGTGTCAAGTTTTCCTTCTCTCTGCAGTGCTGTTGTTCTGTTCCCTAAGTCCAGTTTTTTCCCTAAGTCGCCTCTTCGAATACCCACGGGATGAATAGGGTTGGTGACACTCTGTATTCTTAATCCGTCACAACATGTTATTGTTATGACATAATTTACCAAGAATTTAATTATTAAGATGAATAAATCATTAATAGAATAATAGTTATTTTCCAACAGGAAAGCTATAAGTTTTCCTGTAAATAATGATCCTGATCCCAAACTAGGCAGAGCCTGTGGTATGGTAACCAGACCACTTACTACATACTAAATACATGCATATTATTGATTAATGATTACGGCTTAGCAGTCAGGGTCACTAACCACCACACCAAGAGTCCCGCCCAATCAGGGAGTCCTATAAATTACGCTTTTTATGTTTTCAGTAAAGTTATAAAGTTTAATAATAATAATATTTTTTTATTTGACCAATATAAATATTACAGTGTAGGACATTTCAGTTTAACATAGATCTTAGACAATAATTAGACTAAGTTACACTAACGTAAATCTATAGTAGTGTTATTTTATTCTTATGACTGTGTAGTATGATTCTCTACACATAAAGATTTTACGATTTTGTTAAAAACTTTAGTCGCTGCCTGCCTGAAGTAGGGTAAACCTGTGTTTCAGGCGATCGCTTGACATGGAATTTTTAAGGTAGAAATGTAAGATAAACATAACAGATTACTAGAAAATATAAAAAATACTACAAAGTGTACACGTACGAAGGCAAATAATAGAAAATAATATTATACAAAAACTATTTAAGACTCATTTAACAATTGCCAATACATTTTCTGTGTCTGCATAGTTAAATTTACCTAAATATTCTGATAACATGATCACATTTTTTTTATTATTCATCAATAGCCTTTAATAGTCCACTGCTGGACATAGGCCTCTCCTTAGAAAGGAGGTTTTGGCCTACTATACCACGCTGGCCAGACGGGTTGGTATAGGGTTTGTGTCAAGGTTTCCTTCTTTTTGTAGCGCTGGTGTCCTGCGTTGTTTTGCTCCCTTAGTCGGCTCTTACGACACCCACGGGATGAATTGGGGTAGTGACATTCCGTATTCTTAATCCGTCACTACACGGACAACGACGGACGGCCTTTTTATTATTGAGGCTGTATATATTTAGTATTCTATTAATTTTATTGTATGAAAAAGGTCCTAAAAATAAATAAAATCTATGAACAAATGTATGACTAGCTTGAGGCCTGCTACACACTATGTCCTTCCTTCTCTTATTTGATATTATAGATGATGGTTATAGGGAAGTTCAGTATTCTGTTTTAGAATGCTGTGCAATATATTACTAATCCATCGTTTTGGTTCAATATTATATCATTCTTATGCAGTAGGTAACCCTTAAGAGATGGTAAATGCGGATGCTGATTAGACAAACAACACTCTGTCAAGATGATAATACGAGTATCACAGTTCATATCAATAGTATGTAACAATGGTGCTAATTCTGTTCGAAAACTCTTTCAACTAAACTAAAAATCACTAAAAATTAGTTTAGTCCTGCCAAGTACTACGTTTTCAGAATACGAAACGTTGTTTGATAGAACTAAATTATTTTTTAATGATTTTTAGTTTAGTTTATAGAGATTTCGAACAACAGAATTAGCACCATTACCTCAAAACTATTCATGTTTTTGTGTATACTGCGAATATTTTGTGTAATAATTGTGAGTAAATTATCCGTAATATATATATGTATATATATAAATATATATATATATATATATATATATAAATATATATATATATATATATATAATAAGGGATATAATAAGGGATTGATACTGAATACAATGTCGAGCTATATTCAATCTAGGGCTTATTGTATGTTGAAGATGTTTCTTCCGCGTATTTCTAGCTAAGCTCACTTCGTGGGTTTCAACTTCGTGTAAATATTTGGATTGAAGTAAAACGATGTTGTTAATAACACGCAAACAAGGCACCGTCAACAGTTTAAGACTTGTAAAATGTTCTCGACATGATTATATTTGGGTATTGTGGGCTATAGTGTGTTTTTTATGTTATTTCTTTATTTTCTCCGAAAGAACACAATGTTTTATAACAAGCATTAAAAAAACCAGTTCTTATTGTTCTTTTTGTAATATTAACGCCCTCTCTATATTGTGTGCGTAACTAATGTTATGAACTATTAATAAGAAAGGAATAGTTAGTAAAATGGGAAAACCGGTACTGTTGCCGAAAGTACGAGCCCTCATTGGCAGAAATACCATCAGATCATGTGACTATGTAACCCATTTTGTTCTTTTCAGAAGCCTTGCCCAGTCATTTTCAGGGTTTAATAGAAGTAATAGACAAACCACTTGTAAGTGAGTACTTCCATACCAATAACCTAACTTATAAATAAGGCTAACTACAAATCAGCAACTCTCGAGGCCGTGATCAACTGACTTTAATAGTCCACTGCTGGACCTATGTCCTATGCCTATGCATCTCCTTGAAAGGAGGTTTTGACCTACTATACCACGCTGGCCAGACGTATAGGGTTGCCAGTTTTCCTTCTCTTTGCAGTGCTGTTGTCCTGCGTGGTTTGTTCTTACGACGTCCACGGAATGTTTGGAGTGCTGAATGAATAGGGGCGGCCACCACACAAATATATAATGTTACACTTAGAACTAACCTTTGACATATTTTTGTTATGATTTCAGCGATGAACCAGGCATGTAATGTCAAAATAATGTTTTAAGTTGATAATACGTTAATTTTAATCATCATCATTTACCTAATTTTGAAGATTATGCTTGTAATTCCACTCACGGAACCGGGGGCAATCCTACTATTGCCGTCAATCTGTCATTTTTAAAATTTCGCGTTCCATGATAATTAATATTATTTAACGGGAATTAACGCGATCTCACAGGCTGAGTGTGACCACGGCCGGTGCAACCTGGTCGAAACGTCAGGCAAACCAGAGGTATGTAATACCTTAAATAAGAGATCGCGTTAATTCCCGTTAAATAATATTATTTGTCAATCTGTCAGTTTAGGAATTAGATAGGTAAATAAGGATTTAAATATATAGGCAAAAGTTAGTAAGATGAACAGTAAATAGAAGAAAAAATACAGAAATTAGTACAATAGTGAGTATGTGCAATTTACACACAGCATTGAAACTTCTGAAAAAATAATAATAAAACCCTATAAAATTTTGCCCTGGCGGAAGCCGTGGGTACCAGCTAGTATCAAATATAGTAAATATATATATATATATATAGACTTAATCCTATACATTTATGAGTTTGTTTCTTTATCGTGACGCATTTTCGTTACATCGAGTTTCAAACCACAATGATTTCAAAGAAGTTTCACTTCAAATACTAAAAATACACTCTACACATGGGGACCTTCAGGAGTTCATGGTCTTAGTTTATAAGTCAAAGATTATCTTGTATATTTCAGAACAGCAAACTCGAATACCTGCATTCTTCCTCCATATCCTGAACACGGGACATATGAAGTGGCACATTTCCCAGATGCTCAACCTAGCCAATCCCTACCCATATTTCTCCTGATTGTTAGATGCCGTAGAGAGTATGGGGTTGTTGATCCATACGCTGATAGTAATGGCACTAAGCAAGTATATGGAGAATGGTACCAGAAAATGCCTAAATGTGTTCGTGAGTAGCTTCAGAAGGTTTTGCTTTCTTCATTATATTATTAATATGTTTATTTTCATATATCATGTACACGTAACCTAATGAAAATACTAAAAATAATAATAATACCTTCGCTCATCTCTGATTCTAAATTAGGCAGAGCCTGTGCTTTGGTAACCAGACTGCTGATAAACATACTTATAAATTTCTAAATGCATACATACCTAATGTTTTTATGATGAGGAAAAGTGGATCGAAAAACGAATGGTAAGACCCCTTCAGGATGGACTGACGACCTGAAGGAGATAGCGAGCAGGGACTACATGCGGAAGGCGTAGGACCTTATACTTTTCCTTTTTACCTTGTTCTTTTTTATTAGAATGGAATGAAGATTTGCACAGCCTAAACCTAAGAGTCAAATAAAAAAAAATACCTTTAATAACTAGTGAAACATTCTCTTTATTCTAAATTTATATTCCTTTTAAAATATTATCAAAAAAGAAGCTATTGAAGTGCCGTTATAATTAAAATGATACTAATACTACTACTAATAATACTTTGAGAATATTTGTAAAGGAAAGGTAGATAAGAAGATGATGCAAATGTACCAAATAGATATTGCTTATACGGTTTCGGAGTGTTAGCAATAAGCTCTAGTAGGTCAGGATCGTGAACCTGTTACTCTAATTGGGTATTCCCAGAATGCCACAGCTCTAACAGCATTACTCGAAGAAAAAAGATTTTCCTTTTATCAGGAGAGCCGCTTAGCACCGACTTCAAACAGACCAGAGGGCACTTATCATCTTTTTCATCTTACCTATTCTATTAATTGTCACTCTCATTTTATAATTTTCATTAATCATTCACTTTTTAGTACCTTTTATTAGTGTTTTTTGAAGTCGGTTCAACTTTTATTTTGTCTTTCTTTCTCACTCGCACAAATGATACTCCTAAATTATAACACCACGTCAACCGCAATGAAATTAAGGTACATAACAGTATATTGTGATCTAAATAAGTAGATACTAAGCGTTTATATTCTAACATTTCAGAACATTCGAGCAGCAAGTGACTAGAAGACCTGAAATGATATCTTCAACACTTCAAACTATCCAGATTCTATCACCAATTTCACTATAGCAATCAATTTCACCAAAGCAAATAATTTACGTCTGAAGTCACAGAAAAACCAGTACAGCCTTGGATTGAATCCAACAGACTGCTGCTTAGGGATCGACAAAATCACTAAAGACGATCAGACATTCTCCTTTAATGGACATCTCCACGTACCCTGGCTAGCAGCCACATATACAGTCAATGAATCCAGCACGTCTGAAGTTCCGATGTACATCTGTGGAGGCACTTTAATTTCGGACCGATATTTCGTGACCGTTGCGTATGCTCTCCAGGAAACTTCTGGGTACACTCTGAAGGTTGTACTAGGAGGCAACGTAAAGACCTGGACTAATGAAAGTTCCATCGTCAGGTAAGTAAAAACAAAGTCTCTGTTTAGTAAAGATTTAGTGACTTCAACATATGATAATGATGTATCTGTATTGACGTTAGACAAGAGTGTGGAATTCAGCACTTATGTACAACCGGCCTGTCTTTGGAGTTGAAAGTGATATATCAAAAATGTACAGAATATTTGGACTTTTTGCAGGCTGGGGTGGGGAAGCTCGAAGTCCCTCGGCAACCCCCACCACTTCCGAATGCAGATTGCAGCAATGCCTGCCAGTTGAAAAAAAAATAACTTTCTGAAGTTAACAAAATTTGTTTGCGCAAGAGATCGTAATGGACAAAACCCTCATAGGGGGGATTCTGGTGGAGACTAGTACATAGCAATTGGAGGCAAGTGGAGACTCCGTGGTATATTTCCATTATTTGATGCAAATTTGAAAGGAAACATCGTTTTTAGCACCACACCTACCATGGATTAGAAATATTTTGCGACTGTGAAGTTCTACTTAATAAATATAATTATGTGACGGAAAAAAAATTTTGTTAAGTTTTAAAATATTCTTTCGTTGCATTCTACCTTAGTCAGATCACCGAAAAGCAAAAGCTTTGTGACCTTTGAGTTACAGGTTGGGCGGCGGTGGTTACTTTCCATGACGATACTGAGTCGAGGATTAAAAAAAAAACAAAAGAAAAACATAATATCACATATTTTATTTCTCTACCTACTGTTTGAAATTAATTTTATATCCTTTAGTCTCAGGGTCCTGCTCCATTTGGAAGTTCTCCGTAGACAAACCGAACGGCTTCAGAATGATATTGCCCAAATCTTTTAATTTGCCAAGCATTTCCTTTTTTAATTTCTCATTCTTCTCCTCAATTAGCGGCGGCAAACGTACCACGGCGCGCTGTGCGTCCTTGTGCGACGGATCTATTTCCAAAACCTTTTTATAATCTGCTAAAGATTCGTCTAACTTATCTGTGGCTTCGTAAGACTGGGCTCTCCTGAAAAATGAACAAAATTTTTACATATACCATCTCTCACGTGGTCGTAGTGGTGCATTAAACTATGATGGGTTCGATTCCCGGTAAAAATAGTATATTGTAAAGTCTCCCGCGACACAGGATATATATTCCTAATGCGGGAGTTATCGAAGCTCTGTAGAAAGACTATTATGGGACTTATTAGGGTTCCCAATTGCCACAGATGGTTGTATGGCAACCCGGACCGGCTAAAAGTGCTCTCTGAGGTTTTTTTACGTATCCCTAAAAATTTCGTTTCTTTTAAAACATTTTTTTTTTACTTTTTAACAAAAACTATTTAATTGAAAAAATTTTTTAGGTACTTATCCGATTCTAATACGCCTAAACAGTAATGAATAATAAAATGTTTTCTAAATTCATTAATTTTCACGCTAAGGGCTGGAATTTGAGATATATGAGACCAAATTTAAACTATGTTCTCGTAAATAAAACTAATTTTCCAATTTTGCAATCCATCAATTATAAATGATGAAATGCTGAGATAGCAAAACACATAAATTACCGATTTTATTTATTTGAAAAGGTTGTTTGGTCCATTTTAAATTTGAACAAAAAAAATGCACTAAGGCTGAAAAGAAATGACAAATACAATCAAAATGTTATGTTGTATTGTGAGCTCCAAGAACTCAAAACTGCACCGATTGAGCTTAAATTTTGTCACGATATACAAAACCCTTCATAGATTGTTTAGACGCATTGCATTGAGGTTGATTATACCTTTTCAAGTTTATTATTTTAAAGTCAGTTTAAAAATAGTGTACAACAAAACAACTTACCGAATATATGCTTTCAGATATTTATCGTCCAGCTCAATAGCCTTTGTACAGTCTTTGGTAGCTTGCGCATATTTCTCCAGTTTCATCTTAGCTGCACTCCTGTTACAATAGAGTACAGACCTCTGTTGGGAGAACTGTAGGGGGCATGTCCGTAACCCTGGAAATATCAATAACGCAATATTAAAAAAACGCCAACACAAAAAAAAAAAGTATAATGCCCGAACATGGAATATATGCTGTAATTTTCTGAGGAGTCGGCTACTACTTGATGACTAAACTTCAGATCAATCGGACCTGTGCATTTTAGTGAGATCCCTTTATCACCTAGGAAGTGAGCTGATAATCTTCAAAATTTATAGCTAAGAACCGTCTCGATCACATTGGCTTTCAAACAAAAAAAAACGCATCGAAATTGGTCTATTTGTTTGGGAGCTATGATGCCATAGACAGATAGACAGAGACACAGATTAAACCCATCGGGGGTTAAAATCAAACTATTATATCAAACTAGTATCTTTTTTTTCATGATAGAGGGGGCAAACAAGCAGATTTGTCTATTGGTGACTACCGCCATTCCATAACCCAAGTGCGTTATCTCACTTTGAGTCTCTCAACCTCCAGAATTAGGGCAATCGGATAAGAGTTAGACTCCTGATACCTCACTTACTTATAAAAAGCCATAAAAAACAAATATTTTAACAAAAAAACCGACTTCACAAAAGACTATTCCAAAACAAATTAATATGCACTAAAAAGTAAAAAAATTAATGCATATTCTTCTACAACTTAATAATCAACTTACTTTTTCTACTGATCAATATGTAGGTATGATCTATGTGTTTACCACGCAAGAAGGTAGGTAGGTACCTACCCACTTCAAATCTAACTCAACATACAGGTACCTATGAATAACAAACAACGATCAAAATATTTTTTTGAGTTCTAAGTAAAATGAAATGAAAAATATTAGACTACTTAAAAGTCAATCAATGTATTATGATGATATAATGTAGTTACAATTATTGTTATTTTTGGAGTCGGTGTCAGCCGTTTGCTACATTATGTCCCGGCAAACTGTCGTTTCAAAGTTCGTTTGTTTGGTTTAATTGGGTATTGGTATTTATTTCGTTTCAAGGTCGCTGATATTGTCAGAGTATATTGTCGTATAAAAGTTAATTTGTAAATGGGTTTAATTAGGTATTGGTATTCTGTCACAGCACTAACAGTATGTTGTCGATCGTATGTTTTTTTTTTTAATATTTCTTAAAGTATTCTCGTATTATTATTGCTAGGTATATCGTAGCGTTTCCTTGGCTGACACCGACTGCTGCTCATATAAGACAGCGCCGTTTGAATGAAACAAACCAAGTCAGGGAGAAACGCCTATCTCAACAGAGGCAATCTACCTCGAGAACAATTTTAAAAGAGACTTGCGAAGAGCGCTACAATAGACTTTCAAAAATGCGGCTATACATGAAAAAGGTTTTGAATATCGAAAAACGTAGTCACCGTCTCGGCTTGATCAACGATCGTCTATCTAATGAGACGGAGGAGCAACGCGCCCACCGTCTCGGATTAATACACGATCGTGCAAAGAGATGGAAAACTTGAAACAAACTCTATACCAACGCGTCTGGCCAGCGTGGTATAGTAGGCCAAAACATCCTTTCTAAGGAAAGGCCTATGTCCAGCAGTGGACTAGTAAAGGCTGTTGATAATGATGAGTAAGATATGTCATACACAGAAGTATATAAAAAACTTATAACGATGATCTCTTAATCTACAGTTACAACCTTCGGCTGGTTATGACAACAATTACTCAACCATATCAACGTTACTGTAGATGAATCAAATATCCAGATAGCCTTTAAAAGATTCAACCGAGTATCGTTAATTTGCTCCTATGAATTGAAGAGTTCCGTTACTTTGTCATGGATCCCATGATCAGAATCTAACCAAACTCTCACCAAAGTACCCTCAGTAGATCCATTCCAATAAAAAAAGAATTAAAGAAATCGGTTGGCGTGATATTGAGTTATTCGTCTGTTTGTCACGAACATACTGAATGCAAATTTAAGGCTTATATGGTTTTCTCATGGATGCCATTGTCAGAACTGAGCCAAATTAAAATTGGACCACACGGGAAGCACCAGCTTTCAAATAAAAAAAGGATCATCAAAATCGGTTCACCTAGTCAAAAGTTCTGAGGTAACAAACATAAAAAAAATAATAGAGTCGTATTGAGAACCTCCTCCTTTTTTTGAAGTTGGTTAAAAAAAGCTTAACACTGGTTTTATGTGAGGCGAAGAGTCCAATAGTATTAAGAACTCACCTTCAGTATATTTTTCAATACTCCGCTCGTAGTCGCCTAGTTTAAACGCCTCATTACCCACTTTCTTCAATTCCTCAGCAATGATCTTACGCTCCTCTTTCTGGTCATCGGTGAGATCGACTTCAGCATCCTTTAGAGACACCTCATCTATGTCTGTATCACTGTCATCTTTGACACTGCCATCCCTTTCTTCATGATCTTTGTCTATGTCAGTGTCTTCTGGTATGCTATGTGTGGCTGCTGAAAAAAAAACAAACTAAATATTTTGAGGATTTATGATATTGATATACAGTCTCACTAGCCTAATTAATTCCGTCGTTTCGTAAGAGCAAACTACGCAGGACAACAGCACTACAAAGAGAAGGTAAACTTGACACAAACCCTGTAGCAACCTGTTTGTCTAAAGGGTCCTCCTTATTTCTAAGGGAGACCTATGTCCAGCAGTGGAGTAACAAAGGCTGATGACGATGAAATTTTGCCATAATACAAATACTGTCTAATACTGTCAAACTAAAAGGCATTACAGCCTGCGCCCAAATCTAAATGGTAAATAAATAGTCACAACATCCTTACCACTTGTCTGTGGGCCGTCCCCGCCAGCTTTATCAGACTCTTCGGAACTCGTGCCAGGATTTATAACATATTCCTCACCTATTTCTTCTGTATTTAACGTTGTTTTTAGATCTCTCGTTAACTCGTCTATTATTTCATCGTTAGACACTTGGCCCGTACTTTTTAATCTCTCCGACATCTTTTCTAATCGTTTGTTGTAATTTTAAACGACTTTTTTATAACATCAAAATTTAAAATTGATTTTTTTTCTGAAGTAATTAATTATTACTCAGTAATATTTTGTATGCACTGTTCATCAATTTTGACCTGACGTATGAAATTGAAAGTGAAGTGAAAGAGGGTGTGTTGCCATGTGCCAATATAAATTTCCTTCTTTGTGTAGACTAAAAGAAAAACATTAAAAGTGACGGCATTTCATTACATTTTATCTTTACATAGAATAAAATAGTCGCTTTTTTGTGCTGTACACTTAGATCTTATAAGCTAAGCAACGGATTTTAATGTGGTTTTTACCAATAGAGAGAGTGATTCTAGAGGAAGGTTTAAATGTATAATAAATGCATATTATAGTAGAAAAAATCCGAGAGTATCAAAGATTACTCGTAAAAAACATGATTTAGTGCCCCTAAACGCAAACGCTAGCTTACGAGATAGATCAAGATAATGTTCTACGGAATGGTATTTCTTAAAAAAATCTACAAAGAAAATCCTATCTGGTATATATGTCTATCTCCTAAAGATAACCCACAGTAAAAAAAAATCTCTTTTAAGTATTAAAAAAATGGGTTATTTACGAAGCTATTTTAAACAATACATTATTATGCCTTATCCAAGTAAAAACGTTAGATACGTTGTGCATTTAATGTAGATTCAAATTACTTTTCACGGCATACTATTAAATTTTAGAAGATATTGGAGGTTGAAAATGCCAACGGCTGTAGAGCCGTACGTCAGTCACGTATGGCAGCGGCGGGCAGGATAGGAGTGGGCTTGTATATATTTCATTTAAAGATATCCTGGAGTATAGTCCTATCATAATGAGTTTTATTAATTACTCCACACTGACACCAAATTAGTAGTATTAGTAGAAACAACATTGCACCCGTGCGAAGCCGGGTAGGATAGCTATTATAAAAATATTTTTGAGTTGTCACAATACACGCGTCAAAAGACATATACGGTAAAACATCACCTGTCTTTGAAACATGGTCGAGGAACATTATAATCTTTTCCTTCTTAATATTTAATTTTCTTCAAACATATTATATCTTAGGCATGAATTTTCATGGCATGGCATGAGAATAAAGATTCTATTTATTGTTAAACCGCATTAATATTCGTATTTAATTAGCCTGTTCGTCTATTGTATTGTCTGTTTTTTCGTTTATTTGTAGAAAGTCTCTCACGATTCTGCAATATCATTATTATTTCTAGCCACATAATATAATAAAAGGCACAATGATACGTCCTAATTTCGTAAGGAAGATGTTATAAATAATATTATTTAGGGGGAAAAACCTTTTCTATTAATAATGCAAATCCATATAGTCAATAAATCGACTATGTTGGGTCTGGGCCATATTCATACAACGCTATGCTTGCACGCTTGCAACAGTAAAAATAAATTTGGTGGTCTCGACTCTCTCGAGCTGGGTCAAAAAAACAGACAATAACTTACATTGCGTTGACTTTGCGTCTTTTCAAATATCCATTATACTATCCACTAAACATCCGCCAATACAGTGAGTGTTTAAAACCTGGCAATAGTAGAAAAACTTACGTTTCGATTACATTTATTTCTGTAAAAATCTAAACAAGATCCATTTATAATCATTTCTGATCAAAGCTATAATATTTTATACATGCTTAGTAATTATTTTAAAATGCATATAAAATACATGTCAATTTAAATATACCAGTCGTTAGTGTCAAACAATAGTATCAATATTGCATGATTTTAATTCTGGTAAAACTAAACGTTTTACATTTTCTATCAACGTCAAGATTTCATGGTTCGTTCTATTCAGACCAGACAAGACTTTTGGGTTATTTTTAGTGATTTTAATAATAATGCTTGGACGTAATCTAGCTACTATACCTGCATATTTATAATTTCAGTGTCATCTTACTAACATTTGCAGTTTACCTTTATATTACATTTAATATTTACGGTTATATGAAATACTGACGTAACAGTTGTCATTGGCAAGAACGAAACGACGAGGTAGGAAGTAAATCTAAAAGTAAGGTCAATTTAATCTTATAATTCGTCAAATCGGAGGATATTATTATTATCTTTGATCAACTGTGTGATCTCATTGAGTTATTTAATAGTCGGCAGTGTGTCCTGAAGCGTTTAAATCCACGAAAGTACATAGTAAAGCTCAATATGTTACGAAATTTCATGAAAAACATAACTACAAAAAAATTGCGGCCTCTAGTAAAAAACAACGGTTTCCCTTCGAGTTTAAGCCATCAAAGATGTATAGCGCCATTATCGACTACAGAGTTGGCATTGAAAGACGAAAAGTAAGTAAACTTTTTTTGATATATATATATATATAAATATAAACTTAATGTTACTTATGAGCATGAATTAAAGTTGCATTTGCAAAGCTGTCAAAATAAGCAATTAAATTTGAATTCTAATGGCCATAGATCTTTTCTTTTCTTTCTTTTTTAGTGACAAGACAAGCAAAAAGTACAGTCCCATTTAATTTATTTTTTATTTATTTTTTAAATTAATAATTTTTAATTTTTCTTTTTCAAAAATGTTATGTGTTTTATGTAGAATGTTATATAATATGTAATAAACAAGTGTACATAAAACTTTTATATGTAGATTGGTTTTGATAAATATACTGGGGGTCCCCCCTCTTAACTCATCCTGCAGGATAAATTTTGCACTCAAGTTCTAATACTTGTGACTCTTGCAGGTGTTTATAGGCAGTGGTGAATACCCTACCCTACCCATGGTGACCCATAGACACCACCACTACCACTTACTATCTGGTGACCCCTCTTGTAAGGTGAGGGGGAGGGGTCCCCCGATTCCTCCCCTGAGTCCCCTGAGAGTTGGATGGCAGTAATTACTTACTATCAGGAGACTTGTTTGCCCCTATTTCAATAATATAAAAAATATATAATATAAAAAAATCAAGACCCTTATGTCACACTACCACCCTTATGAGTGTACAAATTTATACTTATACATAAAACCTTATTGCAAAGAATAGGTAATAAAAACATCTTCAGACATGGCTTTCTGATCTTAAACTAGTCACAGATACTATATAGATATAAAATGTCAAAGTACCTGTACAGAAGAACCACCTTTTTTTGCTGTGCTGAAACCTTGGATACCACCCACCGGTGGTTATGTCGGACTCTCATCATCAGCCTATCGCAGTCCACTGCTGGACATAGGCCTCTCCCATTGCACGCCACTTAGATCGATTTTGGGCTTCTCGCATCCAGCTCCTGCCAGCCATCTTGCGCAAATCGTCACTCCACCTGGCCTGTGGGCGTCCCACACTACGTTTGCCGGATGTTGGACTCTAACCGACTAAAAAACCGCACGCTATCTCAAGTACCAGTAGCCGGGGAACCCCAATGTACCCCTGCCATCTACGCCATATAGATGACCCCCTCGTGTGTGGGGACAACGCTTTTCCGGTTCTATAAATTAAAGGGCGCTGCTTCTGCCAGGGTGACAGATGGCCTCACCCGTCAGGCCGCCGGCGCCTCCGGAAGAGTTCTAAATTTCTTCCGGTCCCGCTCCTCCGTCTAGTTCGCAAGCAAGACTTGCTCATAGAAGGAGACGGCGGCGTTCCACCCGCTTTCGCTTCGTACCATCGCTGCAATCATGGTTTCACCTAAAAGTTTCCTCTATTTCTACCATGTTACAAAAACCATACCCATAACTATGACTGATGGGGTTAAAACCACTTCCAATGGTACCGAAGTATGCAAGCTCTTTGCCAATTACTTTTCTTCCGTTTACAGTTCCGACCATAATCCTTATTATAATAACAATTCCGAATACTTACAATCACTGGAAAGCTATAGCACATGTTTAAATAAACCAGTTTTGGATGACGAAACAATTTTAAGAAAGCTACAGAGTCTAGATATCACTAAAGGTGCGGGTTCAGACGGTATTTCACCAATATTTATTGTAGCGTGTTCTAACGAGTTAGTACGTCCGCTCTCACTCATCTTTCATAAATCTTTAGCTACTGGGGCTATCACAACCTGTTTTCAACACTCCGATGTGTTTATGTTCGCAGATGATTTAAAATTCGTTAGATTGATAAAGTCGGAAGATGATTCTAAGCTTCTGCAAAGTGACATTAATAGACTCATTCTGTGGTGCAACAATAATGGAATGCACCTTAATTCTAAAAAGTGTTATCATGTAAAATTTTCAAGAAAACACAACTTAGCATTGTGTCATTACTTTATCAACAATGATAAAATTAATGAAGTGGAACATATTCGTGACTTGGGTGTAACATTCGATAGAAAATTGACGTTTGTACCACATATGGACAATATTATTAAAAAAGCTTCAAGGATGTCGGGTTTTGTATTAAGAAATTGCAAAGCATTTCGAAATAATAGAACGAAAATATTACTTTACAACAGCCTTGTCCGTAGTATATTAGAGTATTGTGGAATAGTCTGGCGTCCGCATTACGCCACTCATTCGCTGCGTATTGAACGTATCCAAAAACGCTTCGTTTGGCACCTTGCTTTTTCGAATGGTGTGGCTAAGAAAATACGTTCATACAAAGGTCGGCTTAAATACTTTCAAATGCGTTCCCTAGCAGGTCGTAGACTTCTCAATGATGTAGTGTTTGCCTGCAAAGTATTTGCATCTAAGATAGACTGTCCACAACTTATAAGTTCAATCAAGCTGCGCGTTCCGACTAGGATGCCGCGCTATTCTATTACACCACTTGTTCCACCACTTAAAAGGACTGTTCTAGGTGCCAGCTCTCCATGCTCAAGATTGTGTAAATCAATTAATTCGTATAGCAATAAAATCGATCTTCACTTTGACTCTGTGGCAAAAGTTAAATCAACACTTTTGAACTTACCTGATTTTACATAGTGTATCTATTGATAGATTAAACTGGCTGAAATTGTAATTATAAGAATGTCTACATTTACGAATTACATTATATGGCTTACTGTCTGTATTTTTTATAATATTTTAAATGCGGTGTTTACCTTTAAGTAATTGTAACATTAAGTTTTGTATTTTCGCATGCAACTAGAATAAGTTTAAATGTTAACAATTGTTGGTAGACCTCAACTAATAAATAAATAAATAAATAAAACCTTTGTGACGACTTTTGGATTAAAGTAATGTTGTATTTAACATAAGTATGTGCTGGTCCATGTAAGAGTCTACTAAGCCAGCGTGGTATAGTAGACCAAAACCTCCTTTTAAGGAGTGGCCTATGTCGGTAGTGGACTATTAGACACTGTTCCTGATGATGATGGTCTATACTGGCATAGGGGGCGAAAGAGAGCCCCCCTAATGATAACTGACCACCTTAATTACTACCTAAGTCACATGTAATATTATGTCATTATAGTATTGTGTATTATTTTTTTATCAATTTCTGTAATCTGCTTATCAGAGCCAAGACTGACCTTGTAAATAGATCTTTTTGATATCTAAACATACGATAATATTAATAATACATTATTAAATATATTTGTTTATCTGAGACTATCTTTTGTATTCGGCTCCGCCCGCGTGTTTGTCGGTTATCGCGGTAAAAAGTAGCCTATGTTACTCTCTGATAATGTAGCTTTCAACTGGTGAAAGAATTTTTAAAATCGGTCTATCCGTTTAGGTGTAAAAGCGTAACAAACAAACAAATTCACTTTCACATGGAGTTTGGATTTTAGTTAATAAATATTTTGTCTAATTTCCTCTTATTAACTCTCTCTTTCACAAAGATGTCAGCAATTTTTTTTTACTTATTAATATTCGCAGTTCTACGTTCCATCATGAAGTGAGCGCCATTTTAATACATTTTATTACTTACTAGCGTTCCGCTCCCGCTTCGCACGGGTGCAATGTAGATACTACTAATACTACTTATGTGGTGTCAGTGTGGAGTAATTAATTATACTATTATTATGATAGTATTATACTACAGGACATCGTTTAATGCAAAATTTATAGGCCGCAGCCACCCGGGACGAAGGTACGGCTCGACGGTCGTTGGGACCCCGCATTTTAAACCTCAACATCTTCTAAAATATTCATTTCAATAAAATGCTGTAAAGAGCAATTTACTAAATTAAATGCACAACGTATCTAAAGTATTTAATTGGATAAGGAATAATAAGGTATTGTTTAAAATAGCTTCGTAAATAACCAATTTTTTTTTGTAATATTTGAAAGATAAAAGTGGTAACTGTGGTTTATCATTAGTAGATAGATATATACCATTGCGGACTTTTTTGTAGAGCTTTTTAAGATTCCGTAGTACATTCTTTTGGTCTATCTCGTAAAGTTTAGCCCGCGTTTGCAATATAAGTGCACAAAAACATGTTTTTTACGACAAATCTTTGAAATTCTCTCTCTCTCTCTTTCTCTCCCTCTCTACTATAATATGCATATATTATACATATAAACCTTCCTCTTGAATCACTCTGTTTATTGGTGAAAACCGCATTAAAATCCATTGCTTAGTTTAAAAGATCTAAGCGTACAACAATACTTATAGGTACACGAAAAAAGCAAAGCTTTATTCTGTACAGCTAGTGCCCGCGACTTCGTTCGCGTGTAATTTGTCTAGCGCTGCCTTAATGGTGGGTTCGAATCCCGGACCGGTCAACATTTTAAAGGGCCTGAGAAGAACAGCCTAAGGTAGTAAAATATTATCGAAATCAGTCCAGCCGTTTAGAAGATTACCCGGAACAAATAAACAGACTTTGAACTGGTTTTTAGGCATAGTTATCGTACAAATAACCGCGTAAGCATGAAAAAAACCTATTATTTTGACATTACAAACAGACACTCCAATTTTATTTATTTGTATAGAAGAAACTGCAAATCATTGCGGGTTATTTCAAGGTGATAGATAATTGGCTTAAAACATGACTAGCTTAAGACCTTGGTCTTCCAGTCATATGAATTATTTTGCTATTTTTATCCATTTTTGGTTTAATAATAATCATCACACAATTATTTGTCCTGGGTGGTTATCGAACCCACGACCTCTCACTCAGCAGTCAGGGTCACTAACCAATAGGCCAGACCTGCAATAACAATATTCCCTCCTAAAATCCCAAGTTGACGGCCATGAGTTTATTATTTAAGTAGGTTCCAATAAAATTGTAGTAAACAAAATGTGAGCTTTTAATACTCCTCAGTCCCTGCCCTCCAGTAATCCCTCAGTAATAGGTATAAAGGCGTTAATATGTTCATATGTGTGAGTTAATTTATGTAATGACGTAAGAATTGACAGTGGCAGGTTCGAAACGGTTCATAGGTAGTAACTTTTTATACTTCTACTTCTTATTAAAGATTGAAAGGTCAAGATAAGGCCGTTACTCTAATGCAAATATAGCCGGAGAATCTCCGTACGTAATTAAGTTTGTGAATATCCGGATATTTCAAACTTTTTCGTCCATCTATCGCATGTCGCCTTACAGTCAAGGCCAATATGCCGCCATATTGGCCTCGCAGCGTTTAAATTCTCACTCATTCGTGCGCTCCGCAGTATTTGTGTGTTTTGATCAGTGTATTGATGTAAATGTTCGTGATGGACGCGATTTTATTAATCTAAATCGAAAAAAAACGAAGTTTAAGTTGCCTACGATCCGAAAAATACTTTCACTTGCATCGTGGTTTCACAAAACCAAACCACACATCTTTACAATGCGCACGTACGGCAAACAAAGTACCTGGTAAGGTTTACACGTGTGTGTGTTATTTCAGTAAGTATAATATTATAGGTTTACATGTGTGTGAATTGTAACTAAATCTTTTTACTTCATTTGCTGCGTGTACACGGTTTTTCTGTACGTGTATAAGTATCTGAAATTCTAGTATACCCCTAAATCGATTTTGATAAATAGTACCTGGATGTTATAGATTCATTATTAGAGCTACTTGACGCTGCTATAGGGTTCAGAGAATTTCCTTTAAGTCCAGGCAACACTCTTGAATCCTCTAGAATTAAAAATATTTTAAACTTCATTCTTTATCTAATAAAATAAATCATTTTTCATTTGGTTGATTACATACATACATCCGTGTGGTGACGGATGAAGAATACGGAGTGTCACCACCCCTATACATCCCGTGTGCCGTCAACTAGACATACATTTTTTTTTATTTTCACACATCACACACACGGCCGTCTGGTTCCAAACAAGGCAGAGCCTGTACTATGGTAACCAGCCTGCTGATGAACATACTTATAGATTTCTAAATACATACATATCATAAATAATTTACACCCAGACACAGAACAAATCATCGTGCACGACCTCCGGCCCAGCAGTCAGGGTCACTAACCACTAGACCAACAGGCCCGCCATGTATTACATGTATAGTTAATCAAATGATGATGCTTTGCCTAATAATTTGACTGATTTTTTATGATCATGATCACAGTTCGAAAAGTTGGGCTTCACTTTAAACAAATAAGTTTATAATTAAGATAAATTTCATTACCTATATTTTTTATTAATTTGTTTAATTATAACACTGAAAAAATAATTATTTATTTAACTAAGTCTCGAATCTAAGGCGATTGTCCGGAGAATCTCCGGATATTTATAAAAGCCGGCTTCAAAAAGTCGTCTTCAATGTCAAACTCTAGTCAAGATAACATAATATTCGTCTACATATAAATATTATCTTTACGTAATGGGCTATTATCTCGTGGTATTAAAAACTCCGCAGTTTAATCTGAAGTCTTGCTATCTACTAACGTACACTGTGAAGTCGCAATATGTTACGAAATATTGTTAAAAACATAACAGCGAAGAGTTTGCGTGCTGTGGGAAAAAATAATGGTTTCCCTCCGAGTTTAAGTCATCAAAGAAGTTTAGCGTCAGTGTCGAAAACGGAGTTAGCGTTGAAAGCCGAAAAGTAAGTTGATTTTAAACGAACTTCGGTTGTATTTGATAAGCTCTTATAAAAAACAAAAATAAAAATATCTACCATCGTTAGTTAAATTTAATTAGAGTTCACTTTTTATATAGACGACGGGCGGATGGCGTAGTGGTTTATGTAACGGACGCCTAAGGGCACGGGTATGATCCCCGCTCAAGTCAAACATTTGTGTACATGAACCTTTATGTTTGATTTGGTCTGGGATGTTTCTATGTCTAATATGCTTGTAATGAAAGCAGTCAGTTGTCTAGTAGCCATAGTACAAGCTCTGCTTAGTTTGGGACTAGATGGCGTTGTGTGAATGTGGTACAATATTATTATTTATACCACACTGCCTAGAATCCAGTTGTATTATTTACACATACTTTACCTGAGGGCTGGTTAGAATCCCGGTACTCCGGTGTGGTTACCTAGCTGGCCTATGTCTGCAGGTGTTCTCGGTGGCTTGTGTCATTTTGGTAAAAAAAATCCGTGTGCTTGGACGATTCTGCCATACATAAGAATCAAGTATATATACTTAGGACCCGTAATGTTATGCTTCATTGTTTAAAAGGGTGTATGTCTATTTTTACTTCATTTTGTCTCCCGATTTGTTAAGGAGTCAATCATCAATGGATTTATTATATTTTGAACTCCTCCAATTTACTTCTGATTAATTTCATTTCGGGTTCTAAGACAGTTTAACTTTTCCTGGGATTTCTCGAGTCTTATAACTCGGTGTGTTAGTGGGTTACTGCTGTTGATCCTGGTGTACGGGTGGTGGGAGGGATTAGACCCGTTAAAATAATTTTATATCTTTTAGTAAACAACCTGAAACAAACTCCATACCAACTCGTCTGGCCAGCGTGGTATAGGAGGCCAAAACCTCCTTTCTAAAGAGAGGCTTATATCCAGCAGTGGACTACTATAGGTTGTTGGTGAGGATTGAAAATAAGCAAGCTAGCTCAACATTTAAAAAAGAAACTTGCGATCTACATTTTATCTTGTCTTCTTGTCTTCGCATTCTTGTCTTCTTGACTTCGAGTGTAACATAATTATTGTTATTGTAAACATAATTTATTTTTTCTTATATTGTTCTCATGTAAGTGACTATGTCTTAATGAGAAATAAAGATCTTGAAACCGAAATAATACCTGTTGTTTTTTGTTACAGAGTAAAGGTTACCTTCGTACTAAAGGACGGCAAGCGCCTAGAGACAGAGGCTAAGGTAGGCGATACACTTCTCGACGTAGTCGTCAACAACGATTTGAACATCGAGGGTTACGGTGCGTGTGAAGGCACCCTTACCTGCTCAACGTGTCACGTGTTCTTAAAACAGAGTGATTATGATAGGTAATCAAAAATACTAGTTTATTTTAATGATAAATTACACCTAGTCACAAGGGACGCTTAGAAACCAGGGACACTTAGAAACTGGGACACTTCGACACTAGGGACATTTAGAAACCAGGGACACTTAGACACCAGGGACACTTAGAAACCAGGGACACTTAGACACCAGGGACTCTTAGACACCAGGGACTCTTAGACACCAAGGACACTTAGACAATAGGGACACTTAGACACCAGAGACACTCAGACACCAGCGACACTTACAAACCAGGGACACTTGGGAGCAAACGAGCAGACTCGTCATATGCTGGTAAGTTACTTCCGCCGTCAATAAACACTCACAAGAGTTACAAGTGCATTGACTTCCTTTGAGTTCCCCTCCCTTCTCCCCCCATCTCGAGAAATAGGAGGAGGTTTTGCGGTTTGGTAAAACCACTTTCTCGGTGAAAAGCAATACAAGAACCTCTTAACTCCATTGAAACCGGCCCATTTGTGATGACGCCGTGCGACTACTAAATCTTGTGGTCATCACTCATTTTGTTGTTCTGAGTGGGAATCGAACCCACGACCTCTGGCTTCGCAGTTAAGCCCACTAACAACAAGACCAATAGGCCAGTCGATCCAGAATAGTATCGAATAGAAAATTTGGATTGAAAAGTACTCGATATTTTTTTGTCGCTAGTCAAAACCACTCGAGTTCTTTCGAGTTTTTTCTCAGTGCACTCTTGATACTGCTCTGAGTTTACAAATAACTTTCTGTAAACTAACGGTACCTCTATAAATATTAATGTGTCAGACACGATGTATTTATATGTACATACATAATGTTAGTATAACTGATGTTCTGATTTTATTAACATATTATTCTGCAGAAAACTAAAACGTACGATTTATTATAAAACATGCTTATTATTAAAAACAAAAAATGTATCACATCACATCACACATCAAATCAACAGCCTTTAATAGTCCACTTCTGGACATAGGCCTCTTCTTAGAAAGAAGGTTTTGGCCTACTACACCTCGCTGGCCAGACGGGTTGGTATAAGGTTTGTGTCAAGTTTTCCTTCTCTCTGCAGTGCTGTTGTTCTGCGTAGTTTTTTCCCTTAGTCGGCTCGTACGACACCCACGGATGAATAGGTGACACTGTGTATTCTTAATCCGTCACCACACTGACATATGTGCATAGGTCTAAACAAAAAATAAATGTCTGTGTCTTGGTACGCTGAGAGAATTGATAACTTAAACTAATCTAAGTTGAACTATTTAATATTGAAATTGTTTAACGAGAGAAAAGCTTAGGTTATTACTTAAATTTTATGTAAAACGTCTGTCCGAAATACGGCTAGCTCTGTGGGTTAGAGTGAGCGAGAAGGAGCCTGCCTACCGCTGTCGTATGCGTGAGAGAAAGGGAAGACTGGCGTCGTAACGCGTTACGTAACGAAGTGGTTTATCCTCCTATAAGAAGTTATCACTTCAAAAACTTGTGGGCAAGCTTCGTGAAGCTGACCATGGATAAAAAATGGTGGGTGAAAATGTATTCCGGCCTCCTTGCGATTCGTTGAAAGTCATTGAAAATGCAACTTTTTATTTTGATAAGAATCAATTTGTCACATTGAACTGTGCATGGGAAATAAGGTATCAAAGTTTTTGTTCATAGAACACTATTATGGCAAAAAATATTATGAGACGGGCAGGATCGTTCTGTTTCTATAACTAGCCTTTGCTGTCGTGGCTTTGCACCGAATGTGTAAAGTTATCAGAGCCCAAACTCTCCCCTTCCCCTGATTCTGGGGGGTAGGTAGTCACTTACCATCAGGAACCTGTCTCCTTGTTTGCTCCCTATACCATAAAAAACTGCAAATAGCTTATAAAGCTTCTGCAAACTACTGGGATCTCAGAAGACAGATCACTGAACTCCTTTGATCCACATTCTTCCATTTTAACTTATTAATTAATATAACTTATTAATTGGACTGCACGGATGGCGTAGTAGTTTAAGCGGTCATCTCGCCGCTTCCTACTGCGCTGAGTGTTGTGGGTTCGAGCCCCACATGGGACAACACTTTGTGTGATCCACACACTCGTACTGAGTCTGGGTGTCCTTTGTGTACATGTATGTTTGTAAAAACCCCCGCGACACAGGATTTATTCCTTGCTCCTCCACTTCCTCCTTATTTGCCTATTTAAAAGAAAAAAAAAGATTAATATTATTTCTAAACCTCCAGGTTACCTGAAGAACCATGCGACGAAGAACGAGATATGCTAGACCTGGCTTACGGCTTGACGGACACATCGCGTCTGGGCTGTCAGATAACACTCACCAAAGACCTGGATGGCCTGGAAATCCAGGTCCCCGAGACTATTAATGATGCTAGAAATTGATGAAAATTGTCATTGTTTTTATAGATAAGGTAAATTATGTCACCATCATCCTTTAGTTGTCCACTGGCTGGACATAGACCAGCTTAGAAAGGATTATTTGGCCTGCTTATACCACACGGCGACGGGTTTGTATAGGGTTTGTGTCAAGCTTTACTTCTCTTTGCAGTGCTGTTACTGTAACCGGCTCTTACGACACCCACGGCATGAATTATACCCAACGGTGTTACACGGAAATATACCCAATTATAATAAATTATATTAGGGTTTGGACAATATTTTCTGTTTTAATCAGCATCAAAAGCTATGAATATAAATAGCATGAAATCCGTAGAAAGGTCATGAGCCAGAGATTCAGTACATACGGGCTGGCTCCAGTGAGACCACCTTCACAGAAAACCAAAAGAAGCCTAACCGTCGCTAACCTAACCTTCTGTAGAGAGCTCTTAAAAAATGTCAACGCACTGTGCTCATGTGTGTCGGTAATCACTTGCCATCAGTTTAACCGTCTGCTGACTCCTTATTATACCGTAGGTAATAAAAGTGGTTGTTTTATTAAAAATTTTGATGTTTTTGTAATTTAATAGTTTTCGGTTTGTCTACCAAATTTAAGTTAAGATTTTAGTTTAGTAAACAAGAATGTTATCAATCATTATAATAGAAAAAGTTGACAATAAAATAAATTATGTAAGAACAAGTAATAATGTTATTATATTCATTTTTTTTAAATTGATGACTAGTTTCGCTCGATATTTAGTTTGTGGGTTGGAAATATTCCCGCCATTTTGTACCTCACGGCAGCCATTTTGATTTTATCACAGCTCTTTTTCTAAAAAGAAAAATACACCCAACCATAGAACAAATGATCGTGCTCATAAATATTTGTCCTGGTTGGGAATCGAACTCACGACCCCTGGCCTAGTAGTCAGGGTCACTAGACGAACGGGCCACCAATGATCGATTTGTCAATTTTGTGGATTGAACCGTTTTTTCACAATACGGAGACCTTTTTTTTTGTTTCATTGTGACTTGCAGTTTTAGAGATAAGTAGAATAAACAAAAAACAAACTTATCAGCCTTATTAATATGAATATTGTATTTGGTTTTCTAGATTATTTAACATAAATTACACAGGTCAACAAAATTTGACAAAATTTCTTACCTAGAAACAAGAATATACTTTTTAGTAGGGTTTTGGTGCGCTGAATCTAAATTCGGCTGCAGAATTGCTCTATCACGTCAGGTTTTTAAGATATTCTAATCTAAAAGTGCAAAAAACGCCATTTTTACCCATACTGCCCTGAACTACAAGTCTTTAAACTAAGCAAACCCTGTTCACTACTATCTCAGCGAAAAAAAATGATATTTAGGCAAACTCAACGTCATTTGAAAGCTGTAAACTTTTTATGCATAATAAAATTTAGGTTAGAATATCTCAAAAACCTGACGTGATAGAGAAATTCTGCCGCCGGATTTGGATTCAGTGCACCAAAATTCTACTAAGAAGTAAACTGGTGTTTCTGGGAAAAAAAATTGTTCGTCTGTGTTATTATAAGTATTTTTTACAAGTGGACATAAAAAAAATTGACACAATGCCGTATAAATGCTGTGTGAATAAATTTTAGTAAAATATTGTGAAAGGTTCGGCCTTTTTATAGCCTAAAACACGATCACTTCATAGGTATTTGTATCCCACGTAAACAGTATTAATGTATACCTCCTTCTCATTTAAGAAAGATCGTAAGTGACATTTAGCTGTTATTTGAAAACAGTTTTTATATCTTCAGGAATACTGACAAGTGTTAAAAATTAATATTCTGGGACATAGACTCACTATATGTACTGTGAATACCTAAATATACTATCTATTATAATTATTATACATTAATACGAGAAAGAAATTCTTTGTATTTATTTTTAAACAAATATGGCGCTCGGAAACATATAATATTTGGCATAGTAATAACCTCAAACATCTCACACACGGCCGCCTGATTCCAAACTAGGCAGAACCTGTACTATGGTAACATGACCGCTGATAAACAAACACATAAATATATAGAAAAATAAGACCCACACAGAACTGATGATCGTGTTCATCACACGATTATGTATCCTGGGTGGGAATCGAACCCACGATTCCAGCTTAGCAGTCAGGATCATTAACCTCTAGAGCAACAGGCCCGTCGACAAATACTTGAATTTTCATCATTCGAAAATGTTAAGCAAATCTTTTGTTGCATATCAACGAGTGGGGGAGGTTATTGGAGGCCTAATTCCCACCTCCTCTTACTCTAGGGAGGAGGGTACTAGAGTGAAAGTGTATTTGGGCGGCGGTTGTCACTTATCATCAGGTGACAGAACTTGTCTTTTGTGCCCAATACCATTAAAAAAAACAATGGCATTCTGGGAGCGCCGATAGAAGTGAAAACTTACATACAGAGGTGTCTTTAACGATATCAGTGTCGCGAGTTGAATTGTTTTTCCCCATCTCAAAAAATGCTCAACGCGCCTAACGAAGTTTTCACTTCAACAGAGGTGTCGGTAACGGTAACCGTGTCGCGATTTTCAATGGTTTTTGCCATATCAAAAAATACATTATTTTGTTTGTTGTTCAAAAATGCCCAACGTGCCTTAAGAATTTTTGACTTCAACAAACAGTTGCACTCCGAGAGTGCCGACAGAAGGGAAAACTTGAAAATTTAAAAATATTTATTTCGATTCGAAAAGTTCCGACTTGAATTTATATCTATATTGTACGTATATACACAATATATGTTTATATTATATATAGTTATATTATCAATTTATTTCAACCCAAACTCAACTCGTGTAAACGGGGCCAATAAATGTAGAAACTTATATGCAGAGGTGTCGGTAACGGTAACAGTGTCGCGAGTTAAATGTTTTTTTTTATCGCAAAAAATACATTCTTTTCTTTGTTGTTCATAAATGCCCGACGCGCCTAAAGAAGTTTACACTTCAAAAAAAATCGCACCTATATAGTAATTATTATACATCACGCAATAAAAATTCTCCCGCTGGTTATAATGTACTGCCTGACCCGTACAATCATCGTATGGGGGTTCACTTAAAGAAATAAATGTAAGTACCCCGTTTTCGTAACATTTGTCATTGCTACTGGGCTCTTATTGGTCGTAGCATAATGTTATACAGCATATATCCTTCCTCGTTGAAAGGGCTATCCAACACTTAAATAATTTTTCATTTCGAACTAGTAGTTCTTGAGATTACCTCGAACATACAAACTCACAAACTCTTTTTAAAATATTAGTATAGATGTGTTCTAAACATGAACTGGGGCCTGCCAGGTTTTTATCTAGCCTGGACATAGGAACCTCCCTTTAAGTTATATAAAAGTCCGTTCCCTTTTTTTTTATGTCAGAGGGGGCAGACGGGTCACCTGATGGAAAGTGACCATCGCCGCCCATTAACGTCTGCAAATCAAGAGTCACAAACGCGTTGCCGGCCTTTAAGAAAGGAGTACGCTCTTTTCTTGAAGGTTTGAAGGTCGTATCGGTCCGGAAATACCACAGACGACAACCCGTTCTACAGATTGGTTGTGCGGGGCAATAAGTGTCACGAAAAGCGCACAGTAGTGGAGCGCAAACTATCCAGGTAATGAGGATGAAAATTTTGCCGTGTGGAACTATGACGATGGCGATCCCATAAAGTTAAAGATTTGAAGTCGACCTATAGACACTTTTATCCCGTAACGGCACTATAATTTTAGTCCCATTTATATAATAGGGGGCGAATAGGCTATTTGACAACATTGAAAATATTCTCTAAATTATGGCCATCCTAGTAGATAAAAGGATAGAAAAGCATAATTTATTTTATTTTACACTATTTGGTGTAAAGTTTTAAGCAAATTTAGCGAAATAAATTTTTTTTTTTTTAATCATTTTATCTCGGACGGGAACGTCCTGTGATTGGACACAAATTTGTGACGACACCGCAATGGTCACAAGTGTCAAAAGTGAACCATAGATTAAAAGATATGAAGTAAACAAAACAAAAATCTTAATTTGTGGATTCCTTCAACCGATGTTAAGTGCGCATTTATGTGTTTTTTTTAAGTGTTTTAGTTATTTCTAAAAGTATTTTTTAATAGATTTTTTTTCAGCTAATTGTAACCACAGTTTTCGTCTTTTGGGATCCGTTGGCACAGAAACAAACAGTTTGTGTGGAGTACTTTTAGATGTATTCTTACATGTTGACACTACACACCATTTATACGCCATTTTATCTAATATATCTTAACAAAAATAATGAAACTCACTTTATAACATAACCACGTCAGTACTGTTTTGTTTATAACACATATCACATATCATAACATATGTCAATTGCGTTACGTCATGATCTTGGCGTCTTGTCTCCCCCCTCTTGCCCTTCAGTAGGTTGCTAGCGTGTGACGTCAGGGCACGTTTTTGCCGCGGTTTTAAAATTTAAACTTCAATAGCGATTTTTAAATGTAAATAGATCTAATTTCTCAGAAATATTAATGTACTATGTACAATATCATGTATAGAAAGAATCTAAAACATTTTCTAAACTTAGTCAAATAGCCTATTAATTGGGTTAAATCATACACATAAATTTCTAAATAAACATCTATATAATTATATTGTAAATGGCAAAGTGAGTTTATTTGTTTGTTACGCTTACACGCCTAAACCACCAAACCGATTTTTAAAATTCTTTAGCCAATGGAAAGCTGCATTATCAGCGTATAACATAGGCTACTTTTATAGCGATAGCCGACATACACGCCGGCACACCTATCCTTGCATGTATAATATGAGGTCCCACGGCCGTCTGTCTGTCAGTATGAACGCCATAAACTCATTATACGGTTTTCACCAATAGATAGTGTGATTACTGAGAAAGCTTAGGTGTATAATTCATCATAGTTGTATGTAACTTGACTGAAATATAACTATTATTGTTGAAGAGGTTGTAAAAGTCTTAAGCTA